CGGCTGAGCAGCTGAACAAACTCTCAGTACTTTTCAATCCTTCCACCACAGACCTGGGATCCGCTCCCTCTCTCGCCCATCTGTAACCCCTACTACATACAGTGCCGGTAACACGAGCAACAGCTGACTGGACGTAGGGACGTTCTGACCGAACCAGTATAATCCTTGTGTCCTTCGAGCATACCATCCGAACCAGACGCGTAAACTAGAAATTTACTAGCTGGTGATCCGAAACACCGATAGTTGGTGCGTCAGGTAGGGGTTTTTTGTGCGTCTCGACGTCCACATGAGGCCTCGGATCGTTAGTCACGGCGTCAGCTAGGTCCCGGGCGCGCAACGTGCGCTTCGGAAGCCTGGACTTCATCCTCACGACGGAGGAAGAGTTGGCGCAGGCTCCCGCCACTGTCCAGCCTCTCCACTTCGCCGGCCTCGACAACATCCGACCTTTCGGATGTCTTAATGGTAGTATTACCGCCACGGGGCGGATCCATGTTGTCGCGACTGGGTGCGGCCGCACCCACGTCGAAATACAATTTTCTTTGTAGTATACAAATTTTTACTGTATTCGCACCCACTTGGCCCAAATACTTGCACCCACAGCCTAGGTTATGAAAGCCCATAATCGAAATAGGCAGCCCAACATCAGTTCCAGACTTCCTGGCCAACCGTCCACACGCACGCAGAAAGCCAGTAACGCTTCGTTCGCGTCACGAGTCTTCGACTGCACGCCTCCTCTCCTGTGGCCTTCTCTCCTGTTCCCGTCCGCCTTCTCAGCTTCTCTGATGGAGTGATGGCGTCATGGTGGGTGGCCGGCTAGCCGAGTAGCCGATGACCGCGGCACGGCGGCAGTCTGCAACAGCCACCAGGAGCGCCGCACAGGAGCGCCGAGCACACCGCACAACAGGTAGGACCGGGACCGCAGGAGGCAACAGCAGCACACTCCACCCACCTCTCTCCACTCTCCTCTTCTATGTTCATCTTTTACAAAGTAAGCAAGTTCAAATATTCTCCATTCTTTTATAGTTTCAACCATCAATCTCGTCATTGAGTGATTTCAATTTTGTGGCAATTTGTCTAGATTCTAGGGTTGGGATTTTTTGTTCTTTTTGTGATATTTGGTATTTGTGAAAACAATCAAAGTAACTAAAATTTAAGTATTCTTGTGGATGCTAGGAAAAAATTGAAAGGTTTTTCAAAAGAAAAACACCAGACAGTCGTCCAGATGATATTAACCGGGAAGAGGAAATCAAATATGACCCGGGCTTAAGAAAGGAAATCAATTCTTACCATCCTGATCTTAGAGAGAGGGTGAGAAGGAAATATTTAGAGAGTGGGCCATGCCAACCACGCACGTGCAATTTTTCCTCTACACAGATTGAGGAAAAAGACAATCCAAGAAGGTTTCAGCCGAAATGGTTTGATGAGTTTGGAAGTTGGCTTGAATATAGTGAAACAAAAAAATAGAGCATATTGTTTTTGTTGTTTCTTGTTCAGAGAAAATAAGGATGCAGGATATAAAACATTTGTTGTTGAGGGTTGGAATGGTTATCACAGAAAAGAGAGGCTAAAGATACATGTTGGCAATGTTGATGGATCACACTTTATTGCTATGAAGAAGTGTGATGATTTGTTACAGAGAAGTCAGCACATAGATGTTGTTTTGCATCAGCAGAGTGAAGCATCTAAGAGGGCTTATTTTACTACATTGAATGGATCCATTGATACCGCTAGGCTACTATTGAAGCAAGGCTTGCCTTTTCATAGACATGATGAGTCGAAGGAGTCTTTGAACAAAGGGAAATTTTTGGAGGTTTTTTATTGCTTAGCAGAGCATGATCCTAATTTGGGGAAGTCAGTGGGTCTTGCAGGTAATAGTTGTATGGTGGCTCATGAAATCCAGACGGACATTGTAGAGTGCTTTTCAAAAGAAATCCTACAATCTATTCTTGAAGAACTTGGGGACGATGTGTTTTACTTGCTAGTTGATGAGTCAAGGGATGTTTCCTGTAAAGAATAGATGGCAGTGGTCTTGAGGTATGTTGACAAATGTGAAATTATGAAAGAGAGGTTTGTTGGCCTTGTACATGTGACTGAAACTTCTTCTTCATGTCTCAAGTCATCTATTGATTCTTTACTTGCTAAATTTAAGCTGAGCTTAAAACAAGTTAGAGGCCAATGATATGATGGTGCTAGCAACATGCGAGGTGAGTTCAATGGGCTACAATCGTTAATTATGAGAGAAAGTTGATTAGCATATTATGTTCATTGTTTTGCTCACAAACTTCAGTTAGTTATTGTGGCTGTTGTGAGAAAGCATAAGGGTATTAGCAATTTCTTAACCATGATTCATAGCTTATTTGAATGTGGTGGGTGGATCAGCCAAAAGAAGGGACATGATTAGGGATATAAATCATGAACAAGTGACAAAGGCTTTAGGGTGTGGGCAGCTAGAAACTAGGAGAGGGTTAAATCAAGAACAATGTCTTCAAAGACCTGGAGATACTCGTTGGAGTTCCCATTATAAAACTCTAAAAAGTCTAGTCAACATGTTTTCTACAATTGTTCAGGTGCTACAATTTGTGGAAAAGGATGATAGATATTGAAAAAATAGAGACCAAGCATCAAACCTTCTAGTCTACTTCCAATCTTTTGACTTTGTGTTTTACCTGCATCTCTTATTGACCACATTAACCATCACAAACACTTTGTCATTAGCATTGCAACGCAAGGATCAAGACATTGTGAATGCTATGAAGTGTTTGAAATCAACTAGATTGCATTAACCTTAGAAGAGATGGTTGGGGCAACTTATTAGATGAAGTAAACGAGTTTTGTGAGATGCATGATATTGCAAGGTTAGAAATGGAAGATGCATATATTGATCCCAAAAAATCTAGGAAGACATCTGGAATTACAAACAAGCATTGCTATGAAGTGGATTGCTTTAATGAGGTTATAAATCGTTCAAGAGTTTGATAGCCGCTTTAATGGGACAAGCTCTCAATTGCTTGTTTGTTCAGCGGCTTTCAATCCAAGAGATTCATTTCATGATTTTAATGTAGAGAGTCTGATAAACCTAGCAAAATTATATCCTGATGATTTTAGCTCTACAGATTTGAGGGATCTTAGCCACTATCTTGGCCTCTACATTGCTGATGTGAGAGAAGACAATCGATTCTCCAACATAAATACTATCAGTGAGCTTTCACAAAAAATGGTGAAGACAAGAAAAGATCGCTGCTATCCATTAGTTTATCGACTTTTGAAACTTGTGTCGGTATTGCCAATTGCTACTGCAACAGTGGAGAGGATATTTTCAGGGATGAAGATTGTTAAAACATCTCTTAGTAACCGCATCGGAGATACACACTTGAGTAATAGACTTATTTGCTATGTGCAGAAAGAAGAATTAAAGAAAGTTACAAATGATGCCGTGGTTCATCGTTTCATGAACATGGAAGGAAAAGGGCGTAGATTTGATCGATGAGAGGTAATGCATCTCTTTTCAATTTTTCAACGATACAATCTATAGATTCTTTGTTTACAAATGAATGGTTTATTTCTTTTTCTTTAGGTCAATGAGGATTTCGTGGTTGGGGATTCTATTTTGCTAACACCAACAATCTTTTGCTGTTATAATTATGGGGTTCTCTGACTATATTTTGATAAACGGTAAGCACAAATGCACTATTACCGCTACTTCATTGTTGATGTACATCATTATTGTTTGTTTTAAATTATTCATGCTACAATCATGGCTATGGTACTAGTAAATTACATTATTAATTTGTCGTTAGCCTGTAAGCCGCACCCCTCTCCAAAATTCTCTAGCTCCGCCCCTGATTACCGCTTAGTTTATCCAATTCCAAGCGAGTTTTATTGCAGGACGAGCTGCCACTCAACTGTGGCGTACTAGCGCACGCTGCCACCCCCACGCTGGGGATGCGCGCGGTGCAATTTGGCTTATGGGCTGACTGGACCGCGCACTGGCTCGGCTGAAACCGTGGATGGGAAATGTAAACGGGTTGGGCCGCATGCTGGGCGGTGTCTGGGACTCCAACGGGTTGGGCCGCATTCTGCAGCACGATTTGGTGTCTTGCTGTGTTGCCCAGCCATTAAAAATCTTCTCTTGCTCTAAAAAAAAAAAAAATCAAACATCTTCTCCTCAACAACGATCAGACATATTATGATATTATTATCTCTACCAGTAAACGTATATATTTAGATCTCCCAATGATTATGAGATCTCTATATTACAGATAGAGGCTATACAGGATTCTAGACACAGGGGAAAAATATATACAAGTCCAAGGATTCTAGACACAAGGAACCCATTCACTCTCATTAGCCTATAATTAGTCTATTTTTATTGTTGTAATGTATAATTAATTGTCTCACAATAGGTTAAATTTAGTCTGGGAATCCAAATACCCTGTAATAAAAAAAATGAGCTGGTTTGTAATGCCTGATTTGGACTACTAGCAGCACGAGACAAAATTGTTTCTGTCTTTTTTCCTTCCGAGACAAAACAATCGAAATCATCATGCACAAACAGAAAACATATTTCTTCAGTTCAGAAATTAAGAGTCCAGTAGCTCACCGCTCAGCAAAAATCACAGAAAGAAACAGATGTTGATGAGCAGAGAGTCCCAGCCCTCTAGTTAGCCGTTAATCTAATGCAGTAATCCTCTCCTCCTGTCGCCCCAAAAATCTCGGGGAAAAGAAAAAAAGAAGGCAAGCAAAGGCAACCCGAGTTCCCAATTTGCCCAAACCCCTCCTGCAAGCACAAGCAGTAAGCAGAATCCAATCCAATCCCCTCCCCCGCTCGCGCCGCCCCCTCCACTAATCCAATCCATCCATCCCCTTCCCCCGTCCTCCCCCGCGAATCCATCCATCCATCCTTCTTCCTCCGCAAGCCAGACAGAGGTGATAATCACCGTGTTCGCTCCGGCATCCGCGGGACGGACGGGGGAGCAAAGCCTCAGCGGCGAGGGTGGGCGATGAGGTCGTCGGAGCAGTCGTCGCGGTTCGTGCAGGAGCTCGTGCTGTACGCCGCCAGCGCCGCGCTCAGCTGCCTCGTCCTCTTCGCGGGCCTCCGCCACCTCGACCCCAACCGCGCCGCCTCCCAGAAGGCGCAGCAGCAGAAGAAGGAGATCGCCAAGCGCCTCGGCCGGACCCTCGTCTCCACCACGCCCTACGAGGTTCGTCCCTCCCTCCCCTCCTCCTCCTCCCCCCTCTCCGATCCACACCCGCCTCCCCCATCTAGGGTTCACCTCACTTCGCCTCAATCCTCCGTTGGCGTCTCCCTCACCGACAGGACGTGATTGCGTGCGACGTCATCAACCCCGACAGCATCGACGTCGAGTTCGACTCCATCGGCGGCCTCGACCAGGTCAAGCAGGCGCTCTACGAGCTCGTCATCCTGCCTCTGCGCCGCCCTGAGCTATTCGCCTTCGGCAAGCTCCTCAGCCCACAGAAGGGCGTCCTCCTCTATGGCCCGCCCGGGACAGGCAAGACCATGCTCGCCAAGGCCATCGCCAGGGAGTCCGGCGCCGTCTTCATAAATGTCAGGATCTCCAATCTCATGAGCAAGTGGTTCGGGGACGCGCAGAAGCTCGGTGAGCGATTACACTCTTGGTTGATCCTAGTCTTCATGCTGATTTAATGCTAGTCCACCGGATATCCACCAGTTTTGAATCCATACCTATTATAGTGGTCTTTTGCCATATTGTGCCTTTTCTTTTGTTTGTGTATGCCAAACACCGATGTTTATATGTTATTATATTATTGCTGTGGCTATGTGGCAGCGGTGGCTCCGCTGCATTTTTTTTAGTCCCATTGCTAATTGAGCTGCCTACAGATACTTATTTGCTTTAGAAACGATGGCAATTGCATAGTCTTTTGTGTTGGGATGCTATAGGAATCCACAGATTTTGAATCCATACCATTTATAGTAGTTTCTTCTTCTTTTGTTTGTATGCGATGGACTGATGTTTATACGTTATTATTGACGGTGGCTGTATTGTATTGATTTGCATTGCTAATTTAGCTGTCCACATATTTACTAATTTAGAATTGATGCCAATTGTATTGTTTTTTTTGTGTGTGTATGCTATACACTGATGTTGGTATGTTATTTCTGTGGCAGTGGCTGCTGTATTTAGTCTCGCTCACAAGCTCCAGCCCGCTATTATCTTCATTGACGAGGTTGATAGTTTCTTGGGGCAGCGACGGACAACCGACCATGAAGCCATGACTAATATGAAGACAGAGTTCATGTCCCTCTGGGATGGCTTCACCACCGATCGTGAGTCCTCTTATACTTTGCCTGCTTCCATGAAAGTTGATGTTACAACATACATTTGTTGACAACAATGTGAACTTGTGAAACATTGCTTACGATGATGGTATAGTTGCAATAATTCTTTATGAGCATGCAAGCAGCATAACCCTACTACAAATAAGCACCCCTACTACAAATAAGCACCCTGTATAGAACATTATTAGCATAATAAATCTTGATTGTCAACACCATCCATGTTTGTTTTTGTTTGCATCATTCCATTTGTTATCGATAAAATCTTCGTACTGCATATTATTGTGAATAATGCAATGGATTTTGCTGAATAATGCAATGGGGTTTTCCATTTTTCATGTTTTAAAATAAGATGCACTTTCCCTGTTTTTGTTAAATTAGACATTCCAGAGACTTAAGCAACAGATATAGATTTGTGCTTTGTGTGAATATAATAATTCCACAGCAGCCACCACTTTCATTTCGCTTCCATGATTGAAGCCTATAAATACAGACGTGTGCTTTAAGCCTTGTGGGAATAATAATCCCACACCGGCCATATGTTCCGTTGCTCTTAACAAACCTGTTTACACCACTGCTCTGGCTTAGTTTGTGTCTCTTATTTGCTCTATTTTATCTAGTTTATAATGCCAACTATATTCATAGATGTGTAAATAGGTTTAGTAATATCATGACTTCTGTTGTATATCTGTATGGACTATGGAGATTCTTGCAGCCTTGACATTACTGGTTGCTGGTTGGTTACTGTGATGATTTTTCCCCTGGGGATTGGCCAGTGGTCTGATGCAATGGTTACCATGGGTATTTTTATCTCCGGTTATCACATTTTCATTTAGCTATATATCCCTTGGTCGTACTTACATTGATTGTCTTTATGCCTGGTCATGTGGGACAACACAAGGACAGTTGTGGTGGCCAGGGGGAGCCATGATACCTTGATGCACATCCTTGTGCACACATCTATTTTGTGTCTTGAATTTGAGAAGACGTTGCCACCCCCACCCCTATGAGAATAATCTGCTTTGGCACACATTATCTGTCCGTACTGTCTTGATGAGATTAGTGTTGTTAATTGACATCGAGATATCTGTACATACATGCTTGTGACTCTAACCACAATACTAGTGTGATAGTAGTACCATGTTTTCAGAATTTTTAATGCTGAAACAGTGTAAAATCCACAGAAAGCAAACTAATAGTTTAGTAACAACAAATGTTTTCAGTTTATATATCCATTGTTCCTTGTAAAACAAGACAATTTCCTCTTATTTTTTGTGTATTTATGTTTCACCTTTTTAGGAGAAATTAATTGTTGTAACGGTGAACTTGCCTAAGGCCTACCGCAGTAGCTTTTATGGCGTTCCTTCCCTTTCTAGCGGGACGACTGTTTCATGATGTGTGTGCGTTGTGTCATTGGTGTTGTACAGTTGAGTAATCTTCTTAAATGAAATGAAATACAGCGCTCCTGCATGTTCGATAGAAAAGAAAGGTCCCCCTCCCTATGCAAATTGTTAAAATCAATGTAGGGCAGACTTTTTTCATGAAAATATTTGCAGCTTCAACAAACCATGGAAACCAACGGAAAAGTTGTTGCCATGGCATGGGCCCTATTTCTTTCCGCCTTTGCCCTGTTAAAAGTAACTAATTCTAGACATGTGTTCTTTCTCCACTGGATCCATACTAATACGTATAGGGTAACACATAGCTTTGTACACTGTTCATCAATAACCAAATGAGTCCCTAATCCAGCATGATTCCCCAGTACTTCAGCAAAAAAACAAATGAGTTGGTCAAGTGGATATAGGGATTGCTTAACAAATGTTTTTCATCTGCATGAAGTTATGTGTCTAAGGTGGACATAAGAAGTCAATACAAATATATACTTATTTGATTGATATCTTACTGGTCATCACGTGAGATTTTTCTTGGTGGCATATCTTTCTGAATGGTTGTTATTTTGAAATGTGGATATGCAAATTATTTACTTAATGATAACTTGTATGTCTTTTCAGAGAATGCTCGTGTAATGGTCCTGGCTGCTACAAACAGGCCATCTGAGCTAGATGAGGCCATCCTGAGGCGCTTTACTCAGATATTTGAAATTGGAATTCCTGCTCAGAGTGAAAGGAGCAAGATACTTCAGGTTGTGTTGAAGGGAGAAAATGTCGAGCCTAATATTGATTATGATCACATTGCAAGATTGTGCGAGGGCTTTACTGGATCAGACATACTAGAACTGTGCAAGCAGGCAGCTTTCTACCCTATTAGGGAGCTGTTGGACAGTGAGAAAAACAGGAGGAAATTAGATGTGAGTATTCTTCTGTTTCCACTTAATCTGGAGCTATGTAGGATTGCATGCTGTATTCTAAAAATTCATTTCAACTCATGGCTATACTAGAATACTTGGATACACCGCATACCACCACCCCTGCCCCACCCCAAGTTGTGGGGCTGCCAGACAGGGCTAAAAAAGGGGGCCTTGTTGAGATATACTGTTTTCAGCATGTGTTTGTGGGTTGTCCCTTTTCTTGACCTTTAAGAAAATACCTGGTTGAGGCTTAGTGCTAAACTAGATTACACATTCATTTCTGATAACTCAGTACTATTGGCTATAATCTGTTAACATGATGATGTTGATTGTTACCTTGGAATATGTTGATTGTATTAGGTTGGATTCATGGATAAAATTCAGATAGAATTGTTATTTGGACTTTAGGTTATCTGTCTGTAGTTGGAACATGTTTATATTTGGATGCTAGTGAAGAAGTAAAGTTTGATTACTAGTCTCACACTGGTTTTGGTTCTTCTCTTTCTACTGCTATTTCAGAAGCCTAGACCCTTGAGACAATCAGACTTGGAGAGAGCCCTATCAACGTCTAGAAAGGGCAAGAAGGCTGCAAGTTCAGGACTGCAGTCACCCTTGTGGGTTCGGCCGACAGATTCAGAAGACGATCAGGTACAGAACGCGATCTTTGAGATATCTAAGCTGATGTCTCGAATAGTTCAGAGCAGTCAGTCAGAACCGCAAGAGCCTTCTTCACCTTAATCTAATCCTTTTGCTAGATCTCGTGAAAATCTACAGTGGAGTAAACACAGGCATTACGTCGATACCGTTAGGTTTTCTTATGCAGCTTGCAGAGGTTCAGCATATGTATCATTTCTTTTTGCGTGGCGAGGCTGCACCTGGTTTTTTGAAGCTAACTGCAGCTGGCAAAGTGGCAAGTGTGCCCTGGTGTCTAAGTTGATAATACAAAATTCATGTCCCTGTGGGCTGCAAACTCAGAACTCCATAGTTGTCTGGGGAAGGTCTTGATTGCCTTGTATTTTGTCTTCAATTTAACTACTCTAGGGTAGCGAATTACAGCATAATGCAGAAAGGGGCCCTTCCGTCTCATCACATCCCAAACTTGCTTCGATTTGTTTGGTCTGATTATTATTTACATAATACATGTATAACATTCCTTTTTATCTTTTATCTCTGTTAAGAAAATTTCTTTTGGAGCATAAACTGTTTGAACTTAGTCGACACGAGGAACGCTGTTGGAAACAGACTGTTCTGCGAAATATATATTTCCAAATTGAATTTCCATGAGCTGTTGTATGTATACGCAATTATGCATGCACCACCATCACGTGCAGGAGCAGCTGCTTGCTCTACGCAAGGCGCTCGTCTCCATGATGGATATCTCATCAGCGAGCGACAGCTTGGTGCCCTTGAGAGCGAGCACGGCGGCGACGCCAGTGACCTCGTCTGGTGCCGCCTCAAGCTTCTTCCTGGACATGTTGGCGTGGATCTCCTGGAGTAGAGTGAGGAAGGCGCGCTCGATGTTGTCCCCGCTGAGCGCGGACGCCTCGGAGAAGAAGAGTCCCTGCTCCTCAGCGAAGGCGGCCGCCTCGTCTGCAGCCACCGCATGGCGGGCGGCGGCCGGCGGCGCCGGCCAGGTTGGCCTTGTTGCCGATGAGCATGACGACGATGGACTCGTCGACCCAGCGCGCGGCGTGGTCAAAGGTGCGGCGGCTGGTGACGTCGTAGACGAGCATGGCGCTGAGCGCGCCGCGGTAGTAGGCACTGGTGACCGCCCGGTAGCGCTCCTGGCCGGCGGTGTCCCAGATCTGGGCCTTGACGCGGTGGCGGGCGATGTCAACGGTGCGCGTCTGGAACTCGATGCCGATGGTGGACTTGGAGTCGAGGAAGAACTCGTCGGGGGTGAAGCGCCCCAGCAGCTGCGTCTTCCCCACCGCCGAGTCGCCGATCACCACGATCTTGAACACGTAGTCCTCCATCTTCACTCCGTTACACACTACCACTATCCTGCCTGCAGCTGCAGCTAATGACTTCGTTCTCCGGCCGTCTCGCCTTTACCTTGTATAGATTAGATATATATGTTAGGATTTATAGTACCTCTAAGTGCAGATCAGTGGGTAAACTTTGACTTAGATATAGAACTTGATGATGATGTACCTCATCTCGAGTCTCCAGTCGCGGCTATGGCGCCGGCGACAAAGTAGCATCAGAGCGGGCCCGGTCTGGTGACGGCGGTGGAGGCGGTGGAGCTTTCCGTTGCTCACAACGCGCCCACTAGATCAGACTAGGGCTAGAAAACTCGGTGAGGGGCTGGCGGCTGCAATGAACCTCTTGTCTCGAGCCCTAGCCCCCACCTCCTTTACATAGCGCTACGCGACGGGGGCCCACTAGCCAAGAGAGCGGCTGGACGCCCCCGATCAAAGCGCGAGCCAAGGGCCCAATTGGTCGTTGAGCCAAATTGGTGGAGATCAACCTAACATTCTCCCTCTTGACTTACATTATGTCTTAAACTTAACTTACTTTATCTTTTTCCCATTCCATCACAGATCAGTGCGTAGAGCGTGCCTCATCGTCACAGTCAGTTTCCATTAGATTAAACAGCTACAATGCACCTCTCTGTTTTAAAACAGATTCTCAATTAGGCCCTTAGTATCCAGAAATCATAGGCTTTCCCGTAAACCTATGTCGACTGTGTGTTCTCTGAACGCACTGGGTGGTTAGCCTTTAGTAATCGGATCCGCAAGTACTTGCTTGGTATTTATATGCTCAATGCTTTTAAAATGATTCTGGATTTTCTCCTTAACAATATATAACTTAATGTCAATGTGTTTGACAACACACTTAACCTGTTGTCTTTAGGAGTTAACTACTTTAAATGGTTATTACTATTGACTACCATTGTTAAATCCGGGTACATATTCCCTTAACCACTTCTGTCTGTTCCTGAGGCCTCATGACAAGCTATACTATGCATCATTCATGACACTACAACTGTTTTATTGAAGCTTTTTCACAATAATACTTTAACTACGAGTGTTAGCAACTACTGTGTATTTTACTACACATCTCGCCAAAATTTAACATTTGTACCCACAACTATTTGAGAGTACTTGTTCTTTCTTACTCAGCATGAGTCCTATGATACTTTGCAAAAATTGCAAGACATTCTTAACTCCATTCTAGTGATCTATATCTGGACTGAACTTCTACCAAAATATTCCGGATACGTAAGCTACGTCAAGGTAAGTTCTTACTTGCACATTCATTAAGCTTCAAACAGCTGAAGCATATGGAACCACGTTCATTTGATCGATCACATATCGGTTCCTGGAACACTAAAAGTTTTCTAATCTATTACCCTTGACTATAGGAGCAGGCGTATGTTTACTCACATGCATACTTTATTTCTTTAAAATCTTTTCTAAGTATGCCTTTGCGATAGTCCTAATATCCATTTTCATCTATCTCGGTGAATTTTAATTCCTAGAACCAATGAGGCTTCACCAAAATCATTCACATTCAAACTTGAGGATAAATACTTCTTCTTCTTCAATGGCAGATTAACATTACTACTGGTGAGTAGGATGTCATCTATACACAGGATGTGGAAAAAAAAATTCCATTCTTGAACTTCGCATAAATGTTATTATCCTTCTTATTTTCTTTAAACCCAAACTTTCTTATCGTTTCATCAACTTCAAATACAATTGTTAGAAACTTGTTTTAACCCATAAATAGATTTCTACAGGCGGCATCCCATACGTTTTAACCCATAAAAGAATCCTTGCATGAGACTGCAGAGAAAACTCTCATCGTAATTTATTCATTCTCTTTGCGTAAATCCTTTTACTACAAGTCATGCTTTATATCTTTCCGCATTTCCTTTGGAGTCACATTTTGTCTTGTAGACCCTTTCACAGCCTATTGTTTTTGCTTTATTAGGAATTTCTTCTAAGTTCCAAACATCATTGGTATTCATCGAATTCATTTAAGCTTCCATAGCTTCTTGCCATTTAGACGAGTAAACGCTTCTCGTGACTTCTTCAAATGAGGTGGTATCACCCTCCATTTAAACTTCTTCACTAACATAGACTTCATAGTCGTCAGAAAATTGGTTTACTAATTCTTTGAGACCTTTTAGGGCCTCAGCTACTGGCACTCTCATATGGGGCTGTTGTTGCTCTTCACTGCCAAGAGATAATTGATTCTACAGGCTCCTGTATTACAAGATCATTGTTTACATTATTTATCTTCTTCGAAAAGCTAACAACAAGTGTTGTATAAGTCATACAACATCAACAGGCATTGAGGAATTTGTTGCTCTTGAATCACTGGAGTGGGCACGCAGTCCCGCTCTCTTAACTCATAGGTCGCTACATACCATGCTCTCCAAGATCATCCCATCTTCTATAAAGATAGTGTATCTTTAAATTTCTTATTTAGTTTTAATCTGTTAAAACCTTATATGGCGCTTTAAGCACCGTCTTAATATCCTTGAGGCTGACTACGCTATCTTTCTATCGGAACTTTAAAAAGTTCAGGAATTTAGCTATTTTTCTACTTAGGGATATCATTGTTATGACCGACGGTCACATTCATCAAAATCTTTATCTCATCTTTCTTAATTGATTTTTGCTCTTACTCTTAATTGATCTCACAAGTCTCCCCCTCGAAATATGGCATGACCTTTACTGCCATAATTTAGAGAACTATTCAGAAAACCTGTGAACGAGGAGACACTTATGACTTACTTCATTCACATGATCATGTCATGCAAACAAAGTTATTTCTTGATTCGTATAGGAGCACACTTTCCTCATTCTACTTCAAGAACTCAACGAGGTCTTTTATTAACTATACTTTTGCAAGTCACACTTGCATCTTTTCCATGTCTTTTGATTAGTATTGACCATAACGGTGCATTTCTATTTGCGCCATGGTCAATATTAGGATAGCATAAGAACTACCCAAACTTCTCTCGCTATGCGGGATAAAAAATATATGATTCGTCACCAAACTTCTCCCACCATGCAGGATTGACTAGCATAAATATTATGCCACACTTTTCCCCATGCGGGATAAATCTATATACAAATTACCGTAACGAAAAATTTAGTCATGATGACTAAAACATTCACTTATACTTCATTTTCCAATTAAATCTTTCTGTTGGTTCCAATTTAATCAGAAAATTAGTAAACTAACAAAAAAAACTGTCATGAACTGGCTTGACTTAAGCCTTTTCATTCATATACCCCAGCATTGCAGCCCGTTGGCATGCAGCCGAGTGGTCTCGTCGGTTAAAAAATAAAACTTACAAGATGCTTCTACATCAATTCTACATCACCGTTGGGCAGAAAATAGAATTAACGCATAAAACTCATAAATTAACTTGAAAGACATATAACTACTCTTCAAAATTAAATCCTCCCATTGGTTCGAATTTAATTAGAAGATAATCAACATCATTGCAGCGAAACACGATAATAAAATATATTCTATTAGTTTAGAAGCATTTCTTGGTCTTTATCTACTCTCTAAAAATTTGACCACGTTGGTGTAAAATTTATCAGAGATTTAAACTTCAACCTTAAACTCATTATAATATTGTTATCATCAACGTTGGTCAGAAAATAACAATACCATAATTTAACATAAACAAATCGGACTACTCCTCTAATTTAAATTTTCCGGTTGGTTCCAATTTAATTAGAGGATGAACATAATCATAATTTACTAAATACAACTGCTCTTCAAATTAAATTCTCCCGTTGGTTCGAATTTAATTGGAAGATAATGAACATTAAATTGTGAAGCGGAAACTTGAAAAAATAATTTATCTACTTTTCAGAAGCATTTTACTGTACTCATCTACTCTCTGAAAAAAATTATCCCATTGGTTCAAATTTTGACGGAGATTTAAAGTAGATAAAAAACATCAAAAAAATTGCTTATGAAAATAATAGAACAAAAACTCTGCGTCTACTATTCATTCGGCCCGGCCTGGCGAAACTTTACGCGGCCCAGTCCGCAGTAGCAGCGAGTGGCCCACTTCACAGCAGCAGCGCGCGGGCCAGCGACGGCTCAGTACGGCGCGCGCGCCTGCTCCCCCTCGCCCAGGCCGCAACCTAGGCCTAGGACAGGAAATCACTCGCCCGCATGGGCCGATTTCAGTCCGAATGATCTGAGCCATCCATCTTGATCAACGGTCGGGCGGGGCGGAATAAAAACTTGCCGCAGCCGACTCTGTCCTAACCCTTCGATTCATTGTAGGAAAAAAAACTATACCTAGGATATGAATATAGGCGCATGAATGCTTCTTTTCCAAGATTTTTATTTTCGATGCGTTGGTATTTTTACCAGCGTTCGTTAAGTTTGTTTGGACAAAGAACTTGTCCTCTCCATTGGATCTGATCATCATACGTGTCTACTACGGCCCCGTTCGCGTGTCCTTGAACCTGGTTTGACCTGTTTTTTTTCTTCATCCAGAACAAATGTTTTCATCTCACAAATTTCTCCAGATTCATCCAAAACCATTCAGATTCCTTCCAGCGAACGAAGCCTACTCCATCTGCTGCATCCACTTGGGTTTTGCTACCAATAAAATAAATGCCGGTGGAAGTACGTCTGGAAGATAATACGAATCAAGATACATGCAAGTTATCGTACGTAACAGGATGATATCTCTCACTAGACTCTAGTCATATACAAACGCAAGCATTTATCAGACGAGAAGCAGCCAATGCAAGCAGCGATATGCAGATATCATGTCTTACGCAACTCTTGACCTAATCATATACTTATATGACAATTAGCGGTTAGGTTTGCAAGTGGACCTGAAGAATAAATTGAAGCAGAAATCGACTTTGATGCGCAATCCTCAACTGCTACTCTTATATTAAGACATTATGAATAAGTAGCAGTGTGATTGCGTCTCCCCCTCTTAACAATCTTGGTTCCTTGGTTTCCAGTTGCTGTCCTGCCCTGCTTAAAACGACTCATCATCGGCATGATATAGGTCGTTACAGGATCCAGTATCTTTGTTGGTTGCAGGCAGTTGATCTTACCTCATTTAGAAACTCCGGCGCGTGATCATCAAACTGCTTGAAAATAAAGCGTGGTGGTTCAGGGAATCAGGGAGTGGTTTGTAGCCAAGCAAACCGACCAATTACTAAAAGCTTCAGCAGTTGCTGCTGATGCTAGCTACTGCTGCTGAACAAGAACAATGTGATGATGTTCAGGTGTGCTGACAGATTAGAAGAAATGCTAGTTTTAATTAATACTGGAGTATATAAGATGGAAGAATCTCCATATACTAATAAAATAGTACTAATAATCAACGGTCAACGTTCCCTAGGCGCCATGAGACAGAATTTGCATGTACCAGCAGAGCACAAAGCATGTATTCATGGACATGCATGGCGATCGAAGGCCATGCACAACAAGTACAGATGCTCGTGTTGTTTTTCGTGACGAATACAAATGTTCAGTCTGACGGGATACTAGCTTAAGCTTAACCAGCAGGCCTAGTAGGCGTGGCGCGCGCGCGGCGGCTGGTGCGGCAGCAGGTGGTCGCAGATGGCGGCGAACTCGGCCAGGGCCTCGGCGACCATCCCGGTCTTGCCCTTGGCGACGAGCATCCGGACGAGCGCGGCCACCCGCGCGTCCAGCTGCTGCCCCGCGACCGCGGCGTCGGCGTTCTCTTCCAGCCGCCGCCCTGGGCGGGAGTGGAGGAGCGCGCGCGCGTGGCGCGCGGCGCGGCGCAGCGTGCCGGCGCGGGCGCACGCGTCGGCCAGCGCGGCCGCGTACCCCGTGGCGGCGCGGCTGGAGGAGCGCGCGGCGGGCGGGGCCGGGGCCGGGTTTGGGGAGAGCGCCGCGGACGAGGACGAGCGGGGTCGCGCGGCGAGGGCGAGGCTCAGGCGCGCCGCGGGAGGAGGATGAGCGTGAGCCTTGGACGACGGCGCGTTTGCGGCGGCGGCGGCGGAGGAGGAGTGGTGGCTGAGCGGGACCGCGCAGTGGTTGTGGTGGCGGGGCGCCGGGAGCGGGAGCGCGCCGTGGGCGTGGTGGTGCAGGGAGAGGGAGACGGCGCCGTCCATTGTGCTGTGCTGGGGGAGACGAGGAGGACAGCCACACGGTTATTCTGCTTTGGGGTGGCGGCTCCACGCCACGCCACGGGCTGTGGGTCCCGACGACGGCACGGCCGCACGGGCGCGGGAGGGGAGGATGGGGACGACGTGGTGGAGGAGGTGGACACGCACACGCCGGTGCAGCCTGGCGGGCGGACTCGACTGGACTGGACCGGGGACGTGGACGGCTCTGATGGGCGCCGCCTCCTCCTCAGCGGTGGGCCGCGGCAGGCTGGAACGGAATGCCGTGGGCTGGCTGGGCCTTCCTCCTTCCAGAGATACCGGCCGAGACCAGGGACGCAACCCGAGAGGATAGCCCACCGGAACCGCGGAACGTCCTCCACGGTTTGGTTTGGCTTTTTGCCGCTTTGGTAGCTCAATCATGGGATCTGCGCCTGTGCTGTGCCCATGCCGTCCTGCCGCCGACCGCGACATGGTAAAGGTATACGAAGCATGCAGATCCAGTCAGACTGCTTAACAGTTTGTACGAGCACTGCATGCACTTTAGTTTTTTTTTTCAAAATCTAGACGTCGAAGAATTTTCTTAGGCCTACTTTGACTGTACTTATATCCACTCAATTTATTTGTGTTGAGATGAATTATGATAATAAGTACTCCCTCCATCTCAAATTGTAAGACGTTTGATTTTTTTTTGCCCTAAGTTTGACCACTCGTCTTATTCAAAAAATTTGTGCAAATATAGTCAAATTTAAGTTATTCTTGAATAATTTTTATTAATAAACCAAACCACGACGAAAGAAGTGATATTTTACACAAATTTTTGAATAAGACAAGTGGTCAAACTTGGTGTCAAAAAAGTCAAACGTCTTACAATTTGGGATGGATTGATAGTTGATATCCTCACTAGATCTGGCGGGAGGAGCGGTGAAGGAGGTACCGCGACAAGGCGTGGAGGAGCGGAGGCAGAGCATGGTTGAGAGGTGGCGGGGAGTAGTAGAGGAGCAGGCGGCCTCGACCCTATGGCACCTGGCATGGGAGGAGCTGTTGGCGCACAAGACAGGGCGTGCCGGTGGAGAAAGGATGGCCGATGTCGAGCCCATTGACCGTGAGCTTCTCGCCCTGCTTCGGTGCTGATGCGTGGTGGAGTGGAGGGGCGTGGCGGAGTAGGGAGGCACCGCAACAGGTGTGGGTTAGGGATCTATATATCGGGTGGTGCGATGCCAACAATGGAAGAAGAGAAGTTGGGCTATAATTTTTTAACTGTCATTGTATGGAAATAGAGGTAGTCCTATATGTTTGAGATGCCCTAAGAGATTGTGACGCGTCTAAACGCGCTGCATGCCGCCAATGTTTGGCCCTAGAACGACAAACTTTGATAGACTTTGTTCTTATTCTTGTATATTGGAGAGAGTATGTACTAATAATTATAAAAATATGTTAATCAGTAAACAATGATTATTTGTCTGATCCGTTTCCTTTCGAAATGATAGATGGATCTATCGTTTATTAATAATTCAGGCGTGTGTCAACTTGCCGTTGCCGCTCTGCAGAGACTGCAGGTTAGTTTACATATACGACATTAATCCCCCCTAGGCAAAGGCAGCCATTCGCCGCCAACAGGTTCCATGACACTGCCCATGCCCTCCTGCCCTACCACCCATGGTTTTACTTGCGAGAGTTGCAACGACACACACACGCGCGCCTCCGGACCGGACCCCAAGCATGGCAGGCAGGCAGCGCGCGTGCGGACAAGCCGCACACGCACGCACGCGCATATATATAAGTATATAGCCTCCTCCTGGGATAGCTCCGTCTACCGAACCAACGACAAGAAGAGGTAGAGAGGAAGAAGAACACGCCTTCTTGTTGGGCGCCATCATCGCCGCCGTACTACCTAGTAGGCTAGGGGCCAGCATCAGCGCATCAACATCGTCTTCTCTATTCTCTTATCTTCTCTGAGAGCCAGACAACTGCAAGCAAAGGCATGGAGATGGCAGCGTAGCAAGCAGCTTCTTTCTCTTGGAAGTGCGTGCAAGGCGAGTAGCGTGGGAGGAGACTACCATGCTATAGCTGCCTTGGTAGCTAGAGAGTGAGTGTGTGTGTGTGTGAGAGGCTTGTCGTTGGTGTCCACGCGCGCACATGCAAGAGACCAAGGTCACGGCGGCGGAGGCGATGGAGGACGAGGAGGAGGAGGAGGGGTACGTGAAGGTGGGGACGAGGTTCTACCGGGTGACGATGAGGCCGAGCGGCGCCGGCGGCGCCGTAGCGCGTCGTCGTCGCCTCCACTACCTCGAGTCCTGCTACCTCTGCAAGCAGAGCATCGCCTGCGACCGCGACGTCTTCATGTACAAGTATGTGCGTGCCAGCCATCGCGCCATCGATCGGTCGCCTCTTTAATTTCTTCCTCCCAGCTTCTCCTTCCTTGGTCCGTTCGTTGCATCACCCGGTGTCTTGGTTATGGTGCTGACTGACTCGTCTGCGGCGTGCCCGCGCGCGACGCAGGGGGGACGCGGCGTTCTGCAGCGAGGACTGCAGGGACGAGCAGATGGACATGGACGAGGCGCTCCACGCGGCGGCGCGGCGCCACCGCCTCCTTCAGCGCGCGCCCGCGTCCTCCTCGCAGGCGGTAACTGAGGCGGCGGCGTCGACCAGGCCTCCGCCAGTGATGCGCCGCCGCCCCACCATCGCCAACCTCGCCGCGCGCAACCCGCCCGTGGCCGCCAGCTAGCTTACACCTAAGCCACAGGCGGCGGGCACTCGAGATTTCGAGCAGCGAGGACCCGGCAGTGCATGGCAGTTGCACCGATGATCAGGCCGTACGTGTGTGCCCGCGCGCGTCGTAGCGGGATCAGTAGGTGATTCTTTTCTGCCGCCATGGATGAGTTGCAGCAGGACCGCCGGCGGCGGCAGTGAGCTATAGCTAGCAAGCTACGACGGAGCACGCACGGACTGACGATGAACGGCATGCATCTGGACGCTACGTAGAAACGAATAACGAAGCTTTGTGATGACTTAGCTACCTACATGTACAAAATCAGTAGTAGTAAATTAAAAGATTAATTACTACCATGTGGTCTTGAGCTTTAATTTCTCGCTTCATTTCATCTTCTTCGTTTTACTGTTTATTTCATTTCTTGCACTTTTTTCTTCCCATGAGGTCGATCGATGTGACTTTTGAAATGGACGGATGAGAAATTCAGAACAATGCGAGTTAACAAGAGATATGGTTGAGGTGCCACGGCATGCACAGAGCACACAAACTTGTCTTCCATTAGGGCAGTTAATCCTAACCTTTTGTTAAACGCCTATAATCTCACTTGTACTACCTGGCTATCTTTTTTTGTCAGGGCTTAGGCTGAAAGATGTCACACGCCTCATCTTTTCATCCTTCACTTCTTTTTTTGAAAACTCATCCTTCACTTCTGTCTTCTGATTGATGACAATTCTTGCTTCTGTTTTCCTGTTCAAAATAATTGCAAGAAGTGGTAGCAATACACAAGGGCGGCGCATTATATAATAATTATAAGTAAGCATCATGTTCCTTTGCTTTGCAGCAATCACAGGTACTGATGAAAGCAAAAGCCCACCAGTCCCCACTACCGGAATCCTCAATTTTACCAAGTGTTTTTATGTTTACCGAGTGTATTTTCTCGGGCACTCGACGAACAAGTTCTTTGCCGAGTGTTGCGATAAAAACACTCGGTAAAGAAGGGGTTTGCTGAGTGTCAAAAAATAACACTCGGTAAAGGTGAGCTTTGCCGAGTGTCAAAAAAAACACTCGGCAAAGAAATAAAATCTTTTTTCTAGAAAAGAAGGAGAAGAAAAAAAATGAAAAAAAACTTTGCCTAATGCTCAGATCTAGAACACTCGGTAAAGAAATAAAATCTTTTTCTGAAAAAGAATGAGAAGAAAAAAAAAATGAAAAAAAAACTTTGCCGAGTGCTCCGATCTGGGACACTCGGCAAACAAAAATATCTTCTTTAACACCCAGCGCCCCACCCTCCTTCCTCCGCACCCGCCCCCAGTGCCCCCTCCCCTTCTTCCTCCGCACGCACCCGGCCCCTAGCGCCCCATCCCTTTTCTTCCCCGGCACCCGGCGCCCCTCCCCCTCCTCTCCCTCTCTTCCCCGGCGGCGGCCGCCCCCTCCTCTCCCTCTCTTCCCCGGATCCGGCGCAGCCGCCCCCTCCTCTCCCTCTCTTCCCCAGCGGCCCTCTCTTCCCCGGATCCGGCGCCGCCTCCTCGGATCCGGCGGCGGGAGGCAGCTCGAGCGTGGCTGGTGGTGGCGTGGTGGTGGTGGGCGGCGGTGGTGGCCGGTGGTGGCAGCTCGGGCGTGGCCGGTGGTGGTGTGGTGGTGGTGGGCGGCGGTGGCGTGGTGGTGGCCGGTGGTGGCGTGGTGGTGGTGGTCGGTGGTGGCTCGTGGCAGCTGCTGTGAAGCCGGGGAGCGGAGGCGAGACGGAGGGCGTGAAGCTGGGCCGCGGCGCAGTGGAAGGGCGCCGCCGAGGAGACCGACGGCGGCCGGCGGTGGCTTTTTTTCGAAAAAAAATGTTTGCAGAGTGTATTTTGGGCACTCGGCAAAGTCTTTCCGAGTGTCCGACAAAAAACACTCGGCAAAGTCTGTTTGTCGTTAAAAGTTTCACCGAGTGTCGTTTGTCAAGTGTTACACTCGGCAAACTCTTTGCCGAGTGTTTTTTGGGCTTTGCCGAGTGCCAGCTCCTGGTTCTCGTAGTGCATTTCTGTCCTTGTGTGGGAAAGAAAAAGGGTCAGTGCACGCTGTTTAAGTCACAGTCAAGGACACTGGCAGAACAAGTGTGAATATTTTCTAGTTGCACATATTTCTTCCCTTGATGACATGTCATCATCATCTCTGCACTGACCATTATTAGTCCAGGTTCCACAAACAAACTACTTCTCTTTTCCCAACAAAAATACAGTTTTAGAATGGTGTTAAGTCAAATGATTTGAAGTTTAACCAAATTTAAATTATTTAAAAAATATACTAATATTTATCA